GGGGTTGGGGGTTCAAGCGCTAAGGGCGCTGTGGGGAAGAACTGGCAGTGCGGCAAATGGGTTCTGGAAGTTACAGATCCCTACACCTTAGACTTGAACGCCGCAGTCGAAGCTGAGTAGCATCTGTGTGGGAGGCCTTCTAGGGTCTATCAGGAAACATGGTTGTGGGAAGCCACAGCAAGCAAACGGTCGATGCAGGCTCAGCGTGCAACTACCTCGCTTGTGTTTCTACAGGTTCCTGCCAAGCTGTTGAACCAACCCTGTAAGCTGAAGCGCGCAAATTTCCCAGGCCTGCAAACTCATGAGGACAAAGTCCTCAAGAACGACCACCCAATACGCCGAAGAGCCTATCATTCGCCTCGATGCTCAAGCCAAAAGATCAGGTGCGAGGACCTCTTCTTCACGCAGCACGATCTGGTCACCCTCAGCGCTTTTGCGTCCTTCTTGGAATTCAGTGTGTTATTTGGGCAAGTTCTGATATTGTGGTCCCATATTCCTTGTATGACTACAGTCTAGGGTACCTCAAATAGACCTGATCAGTCCCCGCATTCGCAGACGGACTGAGAACTAGAGTCTGCCCAGGATATGGATTTGTGAAGTCTGCTGCAAGAAAAGCTCACAAGCACATGGTTCGCAACTATTGCAAGATGCAAAGAATCTCGTGGGCTCTTACAAATTAGCTGTTGCGAATATCCACCCTACAACGTGGGGTCGGGCACAAGAGCAATCATGGGGCTTGATGGATGGGATTTTACTCTGGGGACGGCTTCATTGTGCGATGCTTTGGTTGAAGTTGGGATTGGGAGTGCTAGGCTGTTTACAACAGTGCAGACCTCCTCACCTGCCAACCGTGAACAAAGTCTCATGCGTGGTCTCCCCTGCTCACCATGGGTGCAAGCGGTCTCAGCAATCCTAGCATCTCTTGTAGTTCCTGCATCGGCGTAGTGCACATTGCGCTTGAGCTGATTTTTCGAGCCTTCTTTTGAGGCAGAGATCCTGCCGTTTGAAAACCTTGGAGGCAGGCGCTGCCAAGATGGACAGGGTTTTCCATTCATTGCGGGCAAGGGTTTGGGGCTTTCAGTTAGCTAGTAGCATTTTCAATGTTCGCAGGCCTATGCTGCACATGTTCCAGTTTTTCACTGACCCAATGCCAGACAGAGACCTTTAGTGCAAGCTGAGCTTACGAGTAGCACCTTTCCTGTTCCCACTCCTTACCTTAATTTCTGCAGGAAAGTGGTAACTTAAGATGCTCAAGCTTTTTCTCTGTGTGGGATGATGTCAAACTTGAAGTTTTGATTGCAGGCTGCGATGTTGACTACCGTGGCTGCCGAGCAAATCTGCCCTCTGGACGTGAATTGGACGAGGCGGGACGTTGTTCAGCTTGAGTTTGGGCTGCTGGGTGATTTGGATCTCGAGATCTTGGGCTGGCGAGCCGAATCTTGAAGCAGCAAGAGCACTTCTTCATTTCCAGAACCGTTCGGTTTCAGGGGCGCTTCTTGAGGCCAGTTCGCGGCATTTTATTCCACTTCTGGAAGATAAGAGCGCAGGCTTCAGAGTTGATTACGTTTGGTTTCACAACAGATGCAACGGGACCACGGTCCAAGGTACAGATGCTTTTAGATGTGTGCCAGACGTGCAGTGCGCCATGTGTTGGGCCTGCTTCTGAGGTCCGCATGCTTCAAGTACGGTATAGATGGTGCAGCATCAGATTCAAGAAGCAATGGCCCGCTCTCTCAACTCGCAGTTTCACCTAGATCTCAAAGTCTCTACCCAACACCCAGACCTTTGCGGACCTTGCAGCAGAAGGCACGGGAATTCAGAAACTGTTAACAAAAGCTGCAGAAGCTCAAAGCCACCAGACCGCTGAAACCATCCCATTCTCTCGTCATGCGCGCTGAAGATTGCTTGTCTTCTGGCCTCAAAGCATCAGCACTAACATACAAATAATTTCACCTGAGCCCCCTTTTCACGGCCCCACTTGTTTCCCGAGTCCTGAGTCTGGGCTCTTAATTGGGTTCGTAGAGGCTTATAGGTTAGATCATAGGTAGTTACAGACCTTCGAATTCCAGCCTTGGATACAACATGGGCAATTTGATTGAGACAGTGAGACTTTTCATAGGGATTGCAATTCCAGCTGCTTCAGGGTCTCTCTATATTCTGAGACGAGCCTTGATAGTACCAAGTGTACGTCTTCGGCAATCAATTAGGGCCAACACTCTGAACCCTAAACCCTACGTGGTTCCAAGCTCTGAGGCGCTCCTCTTCTGCGCCGAGCGCCACCTCTCTGAAGTGGAAAGATGTTCACGCAGACAATAGGGTGTAGGGTTTAGAGGTATATGCTGTAGGCTTCAACTTGTTTCAAGCATCCATCATTCATATTATGTAGGTTATGGCAAGCGCAGTGATATCCCTCCCAGACGTGGTAGTAGTCTTTGGTGTGAGGTTCCGTGAGGGGCCGGAAGGTTAAAGGACAAGCTTAAAGGACCTGAGTGATCAGAATCAGCATTCATCGTCGTCCTTCTGTATGGGTGGTTGTCAAAACAACCGTCCCCTTGTGGGTACCCTGAAAATTGTGCGCTGTGTTGTAAAAGTCTCCATAGGTTTGACAGCCTAGTATATGAAAGCGTAGATTGTCTCAGGTAAGCTTCAATCCACTTCAAAGTTACAGAAATTCGTGGCTCGTCACAAAAGCAAAGTTATGGTGCCATGGGAATGCTGCACCAGCTTTTCGGGGCACAGCCTGTGATGGGCGGACTGCTATCTCGGCAAGAAGCTCGTGGATATTCCTGGGAATACTTGGCTGTAATGGACCGTAATCCTTACATACCCCTTGTAAAGCCAGCGAAAATCATTCGTATGTGTCGCTTAAAATCTACGGAACAGGGTTTCCTGCTGGCTTGGATTGGGGTCCTTTGCATTGCTTCCGTCTTGGGATGCTTCAGGCTTGCCTGCGGGCTATGTTTGGGTGAACCAGTTTGCCATTATACACCATCAAAAGAGACTCTTGGCTGCAAGACAAGTGCTTTGTTTTGCGGAGCAACTGTCAGTTGCAATGAACCAGCAAAGCTTGAAGTGGATGCCTACTGCAATGATCTTAACCCTTGACCTGTCACCTGCAGAATTCACTCTCTGATAAACTTCTCTTCGCTGCAGCAGGATCCGACAGCAGCTTCATCTCGCGCTTTATGGGCATGGGCTGGTTTGGAGCTCCGCCCCCGCAGCTTGTCGTATGTCGATCAAATAGCCCTCATGCTCCAAGAGTCCTTTCAATGGCGACAACGATATTCCAGGGGTCCATTGGCATCATTCCATGAAGTGCAATGGCGTAATTGTACGCGTTTGGGGAGCTGTTGTACATGCGTGCTTCGCGTGAAATGCTTCGGACTTTTTTGCGGCAACTTTGGGGTGTCAGCTGCCGCGCATGGGAGGCACGCACCCTTCAGACATCCTCCTTCAGCGCAATGCCACCACCGTCCATGAAATCTTCTATGTCCCAGTGTTGATCGGATCTAGCTCATGCATATGGACTGATGATGACTCATAAATGTCATATGTGCAGATGCAACGCGTGAATTCAGCTGCTTGTGGAAGCATGGAAATTGGAGTTGTCCTGCGTTCGTGAGATGTCATCCCGCAATCTTTCACGTGGCACCGTGTTGCTCTGTTTGCCGCTCCTCTCACGCCATTACCTCTTCTTAGCAGCAGGGAGGGGGCGTAGTGGTAGTGGTGCTGCTGCATACTTGCTGTCAGCTTTTTTGTTTTTCTCCTAGGCCTCACCTGCCTTGGGCCCCCATCGTCCACCTCGACTACAAAGGCTGCCCATGGAGGGCTGGTTTGTTTTGGTTTCAGGGCGTGTGGTTTTGAGGCTTCATGCAGGTGGATCTGCCCCTGTTCTCCGTATGCTTCCAGATCTGCTGCTGGGCGAAATCCGCAGAATCCCGTACCTCAGAGCCTCACGCACACGGTCTCCTCAAACCTCCCAAGTGCCTCGTCCTAGCCAGGCGAGCTGGACTTTGCCGATGGCCCTTGCCCCAGAGTGGAAAATGCTGCTAGCGCCCACGAAGAATCCAAAAAACAAATCGCAAGTTCTGACCAAGCTTATCCTGATGTTGTCTGGAAAGCTGCCTGCCGCTACTGTATTGCCCAGAAAGCCAGAACAGGTGCTGTCCCAGTCCGTATTGCAGCATTTCAGTGCTCAACAATCGCAACAGACCTTGACTTCTTGCCTTGCATCAGAGGGGAGATGCAAGGTTCTATGAGTGTGCGGAGGGCGTAGCAGCAGGTTAGCAGTTAACACCACAAACGCAAGCTGTTCTGGTACTGCCAAGAAAGACCGCAAGAAGCAGCACAAGGCTTTGGTGTCTTATTCGGGGGGTCAGGTGCTGCTTAATCCAGCACGAGAAGCTTGCAAAATCCTCTGGGGACCGGCGGTTGACCAGTCGGTCTTCAGTGGACTGTTATAACTTGGTTGGTCAGCGGGCATGTAGAATTGAAGAGTGTAGGCCTCCACTGCACGAGAATGCGGGGCTTTTGAGTTGGCATCGTGGCGCCCAGCAAATTTGCGAAGTCTTGAAGAGCTTGCTATTTCCTTTTTGACTGGAAGCGTGCTCAGCGCTCGAGTAGGATCAAAAACCTGTGCTTTAGTCGCTTGAGGAGATTTCAGACCAACCCAAGCCAGAAAACCCTGAGCAATCATGCTCCTGAGGGCTTGGATGCTCAGTGTCAGATTCTAAAGCTCCAACCACTTCAGGCTCTGGATTGGTCTCTCTGCCGCTGCACTCTTATGATGGCCTCGCGCACAAGCTGCAGATCAGGAGCCGCTGACTCCCAGGTGCTAGGTCGCTAGCTTCAAGGTGAGCCACGTTGGACAGATTACCGGGCCAAAAGCTTATGAGCTTTCCTTCGGTATTGAAATGGCAGGGCGATGTCCAAGACAAGCCGTAACAAGCCTGCCGCCAACAGCTAGGTGCAGTGTCGCAGCCAGAGCTTTTTAGCTTTCTGGCCAACAAAAGGATTCATGCTTCTAGGGGCCTTAGAGGCTTGATCCGAAAGCGTTCAGATCCTTGTATGCTTTTTCAGACATGTGTATCTGAAGTTTGAGCCTGGCCTCACTTCCAGCGGCACACCAGGATCATTCATTCGCGATGTCTCGGTATTAGGATATCATGCCATCTCACTTCTTGATCTTGTAGGTCTGTCCTTCAGGGAAGATGCGCAAGGTTTGCAGAGTTCCAATTACAAGCCGCTATACGGACTGTTGTAAGGAGGGTCAGTTGTGGGTGGAGATGATGCATGATATGCAGGTTTCTGGGAGGACAGATCTTTGAACCTCACTTTGAGAGCCTTGATTTCTTGAACCCTGGCAAGCTCATAATCACACAACGTCACACATAACGTCGTGAGGATGGCCGAACTCTGTATGCCCCGCTCTTATCATAGATGTGCAAACATGTGCTGTGGGAATTAGGACGATCACCGCCGGCTTCAACCGTGATGAACCTTGGATATTGAGAAACTCCTGAGTAGATGCTGCACACTTGCAAGGAAGGCTTTGCAATGATCAAATTTGGGCATGACAGATGGTGTATGGAAACGTGCCGCGCGCTCGAGCGGTGAGTGTCACGGAGGTTTTGCGGAAACGCTTGCTCGAAAACATACGCTGAACGTTGCTGAGCCATCCGCTGGCCTCAGCCTGCATTGATAATACGATGCCATGGAGCAGGCGAATGTGACAATTGTCCGAGGTATTCCCCAAACACGTATTGGCAATATATGTAGACTGCCAAGGGGAGCACAGGAATGTCCTAAACTGTACCATGGCCGCCAACCCTTCCAAAAATCCTTCGCGTACGTCCTAGAAGGGTTCGGAGCCATGACTTCCTGGTTAACTATCTCTTTGGAATACTGTTTGGAATCCGTGAGTTTCCAAAATGCATCGCTATGGAACCATTTTGAAGAACTGTCGGCCTGTCTTCTGCATTTAGCTACCTACGAATCCCTGCAAAAATCTTCCAGTAGCTTCCCTTGACATAAGCAACATTCGACCGGGATACAGTATACCTGGTAGGGTTTCAAGGAAATCACAGATCTTCATCCGACTTCTGCAATCCCTTTTGGGGACAGTTCTTGGATTCTTGAATGGAAAGCTGACTCACAAGCTGTGAGATTGTCCCCAGAGCGGCAACCCACACGCATGAGACCCCAACCTTCAAAACCGAGAACAAGAACCCTGTGTCGGCCATCGCACAATCCTGAACCAATGCGCCAGAAAGAGCTGTTGCAAGACTTTCCGTTACAGAAAACTTCTCTGTGATTTACCAGGAAGGCAGCTTGTTCTACTTGCTTCTACCGAACTTCTTCTCGGGGATTGACACCAGCAACGGGCTCACGGACTCGGACTATCGAACCTGGTCTGCCTTCCGCTTTGAGGGTTTCTCGCTTTGGGTTTGGCGACTCTGCTTTGAGGGCTTCTGTTCACGTGACTCATATTCAGGTTCTTACCTTCACACACGTCCCCACTATTTTCCATGTACTTTAACTCCTTTTGCGGCCAGCTTGCTTCGAAAAAGGGCCTATCAGTACACCACGCGACACAGGCTTTGTGAGCTTCTTGAATCGGTGAAGATGTGAAGGGTTGGACGTTGCTGTCTCTTTGCAAAATGCTTGTGATTTCAGGGTGTATTGAAGTTCTGGTACCTTCCACGATGTTAGATTTTGTTACATCAGGTCTTGGGACCCACCGGCATTGAGAAGAGTGCACCTTCACGGCTTTGGATAGATATGTGAAGCCATCAGCATCACCCAGGACTGCTTGTGAAAGCCATGGGCTGCCCCGATTGGGGCCCCGCAGCTTGTCAGACTATGGCAAATTTCAGCTGAGGCATAGAGAGGCGTGGATAGCTATGATGTTCAGGGCTGAGCCTTGCGGCTTTGGTTTTGACATGTTTGGGAGCTAATCAACATGCAGCTGCTTTTCATCTTGGTGGGGGCTTTTGCAGTTGCCGATGAGCTTCATGCAGTTATGGGTGCCAAGAATATCTTGTTGATGCACAATATGCGGAGGTTTCCCTTCGACAGGGCACCCTTGTTCTCTTTCCGCTGGCATCCTACATTCCAATGCCAGCACATCGAAAAATCGGGGTTCTGGATTGCGCCAGGAGTGCATTTCATGTCTCACTCCACGAAGACCTGGCGGGCAAGTCAAGTTGGACCTGGAGCTTGCCATTGTATCTTCTTGTATTTCTGTCTGTCCGCATTTCAACATGAGCCGCGCAC